TTTCTACGGTTTTGCCTAAAAATCTTCATCATTGGCTATAATCATCGACGAAGAGATTCTCTTTTTTTGTCCTATTCTAAGAGACACTGAACTGAGATGATTTTTGGACTTTTTGCATTTTTTCTTAAGTTTCATCGGAACCAATTATACTGCGGAATAAAGCGCTTTTTAATTTGCTTCCAGCTTTTTAGTGATATTAATAATTTCAAATACTTCTGTCGTCCGTCTATTTTAGGGTTATCATCGTCTTGATTTCATTCCTAGTGCTCTACGTGCGCTAAGTGATTTGCGGAGTCCCCTGCAATATGAATGGAATCGAATACATTTTCTTTTTCGTAATCTCGAATATTTCCACTACTCAAGAAGCCATGGAGTTCAGTAACTGTCAAAATAGTCCACTATTTAAATACTCGAGTGTTTGTTTGTTGTTCTAAAATCCTTTATAAGGTTTTGAAGACCCTCCTGGAGAAGGGTGCTTTGTAAAATCTTTGGAACTAGGAGTGCTTCAAGTGTGATTGATCTTCAGTCGTATGCTTTTCATCTTAGATTTATAATGGACTTTGCTTAACGGACCCTGGTTTTTTTTCCTTTCTACCACTGAAGAAAAAAAATGACGTCATTAACCACTTGTCAACTGGATTTCCTCCATTAATGGAATAATACCATCTTTCGTAACATTGACTACTAGCATTAAGTCAACTCCTTAATCTACTTTCCTTTAAGCGTTTTCCACTTTTCCTCTTTGTGCTTCTTTTCTTTCTCTTGTCATACTGTAACACTTCACAACATTCTGCACTCATTCAATTCTTCTACTGCTTTTTTGTTAATTTTTCTTTGTCTTGTCGCTGTTTAACTCACTTAACAATAAGTGGGAAACTTTGAGATCAGCTGTTTGCTAAAGATTATGAGATTATATATGTATATACATGTATATATGTGTATGTGTATATATATGTATTAATGTATATGTTTATAACAGAGCCGTCCTTACATCTCCTATGCGGAATCCGGCACTCGATTTCTTTTTCTGGCATTCATTGTCCACGAAAGTCTTCGAACTTCCCACGTATGGGTTCGGCTGCTCCTTGATAATTGTCGTCTTCCTTATGAATGCCGTTGAATTCTGGTCGATTCGATTCTCTCTGGAGTCTAGAGTCGGGCTAGGACGTTCCTAGTTGGATTAGTGAACTGTTTCCAGACAAGCCGAGTACCAATTTCCCGACGTGAACCAACGTCATGCTCATGAGGACGGTGTCACTACTGTAGCGCTACCTGCCTTGGGAACATATTTATGCACATATATATATATACATGTGTATAAATATATATATGAAGTGGGAATGTATGTAGTTAATACTTTGTGGTATAAATGTAAACACTCAGGTACTAGGAAAGTGATAAATAAGAGGACGATTCTTCCAGAGAAAAGATCGTAGTTAATTTCTATTGGAATAGAGCTGATACTTTGATGAGACAACATTTACAGCGATTCGGTGTATTCGCTTCCTATACATTTCCCTCCAGTGATGATGACGGAACGTCAAGCTAAAACGTGCTTTATTGATTTTCCTGGGCTTCACTCATGTGGAATCATAATATTAACCTGTGGTTTTTCCCTGACATTGAGTTTCCTTCAGCTACAATCACTCCTTAAAGGACTACAATTATCTTAGTAGCTGGTCCTTGCACACTGAAATCTGTCCATAATGCAGCTCCGTACGATCGCTCTCTTGATGTTTGGCATGCAGACGAGTCCCTGATTTCTGGTACCGTCCCTCATTTGGACGTAGCGGGCATTGTTGGCACCATATGAAACAGTTTGAACTCATTAAGAAATTTCCGACTACATAATTGTAGCAGTTCCTTCCAACGGTTTACCGCCTTATCGTGTTCCTCGGAGTCGGGCTTCGATGTACAGCGGGAGATTCTTCCTCCTGGCAGGGTTTCCTAAGCTCGGCTTTCCATTAGAAAGCCCAGCTAAGAGTAAACCAATACCAGGATCAAGCATTGTCTTGGTATCGAACTAGTTCGCATGGTGGCAAATCTCCGTCTGATTTAGAAGGGCGGCGGCTGCCTTGTTATGGTGACGACCTGGGCACACTTTGACCCGCCTGACCTCAGGATTCCAGGGAACCACAGTGCTTAACCAGCAAATCTCCAAAAAAAGTGGAGATTATGCTAGGACCCGCACAACCAGTGAGTTCAGTATATTGGCTGTTCAGTGTTATTTTTTAATTTTTACTCGAATTTCAAACATCTTTGTTGTTGTGAATCCTTTTCCACTTTTCTTAACATCATATTTAATTCAATGGTTTCTTTGTTCTCGGGCACAATCTAGCACCTTCGGCTGACCGACTTCTCAACCCACCTTTACTCAGAGGCGTTGAGTTTCGTCATTTTTCAGTGGCTACTTCTCTCCAAATGGTTTTTTTTCGAAAACAACTGTTGCTGGAATGACTGAAAATAATGACACTACGTTAATGTTTTCCAGTGATTTTCATTCATATTCTTTTCATTCAATGATTTCATTAATTGCTTGTCACCTGTCATTCACTGGGTCGTACGAGTTGTTTTTTTTTTCAAGTGAGGACAACTTTTTAAGACACAGTTATTGGGAACTTCAAGCTGATTCGTATCCATTACTTGTAATCCCATCAATCACCGAGGATCTCGACCACGCATTTGAGTTTGGAGTGCTCACAGGTAAATTAGGTCTTCTTTCTTCTTAAAGCTAGGAAAAAAAAGCCTGCAGAGGTATTTAGACCTTTCTATAAATTCCTGGTTTTCCGCTGTTCTTTAGAATCCTTCGGAGAATTGATGCACATTTATCCTTTCAGTTCACTATCTCTCATCATTTTTTCCCTTCACATTAATACAAATTCAATCGCAGCCGTCTTTTTCACTTTATTTTGCTCTATGTGGTTTTTTCTTGCATGAAATCGCTACCACCTGTCTATTGGCGCCATTAGCCACAGTCTGATTGTTCTTGTCTTCGTCGAAGCCCAGAGGCAAAGATCTGACGAAAGGATCACATAACAACAACGGCTTGTTGTGTGTTTGTCGACTTTGGCGACCTCTGCCTTTCATGTATTGATAAGGCCACTCGGCCCTTATAAAATAGGCTATTGATTTCTTATTACACCAAAAAAAACTATGCCTTCTTTGCACAGGGTTTCTAACATTTCAGTTATGAGCTTTTTTGTTCCTAGAAGTTTATTCATTGGCTTAAACAAAAACAACTATGTTAAGGTTTTGTGCAACGAAGTTATTGTTGGTTGTTATAAAGAATAAAAGGTGAAGTGTTCATCGTTGATCAGATCAGTTATAAGATGCGTTATGCATTCAACTCCACTCGTAGCATCATAGAGATGACTGAATGCATACTTAGCAACTAAATTGAAATGGTGTGGCCTACCGATGTCATCAACTCAGTATTCTTATACTCCCAGACAAATCTGCTATGAGTTAGTTGTCCCCTTAGAGATGGTAAGTTTGGTTTACTCAAAGGCACAGGATCGAACTAACGATCCTGCGTACTGCAACGTAATTCAACCCGCTGTGTTATGCGCATCATGTTATTTGGTGAAAGATGAGAAGATATATTTAGCAAAACAATGTCGTGTGGGCTCATCAAACGGATTTTTCGACCACGTCTTTCTTTTGTTTTTCCTTTCTCTATCAACGGTCAAATTGGTTGACCACAGTGTTTGTAAAAAAATTCCATCAGTGATATTGTTGCTTGTATTTCGCTGTTTGTATTTACTTGTTGTATGTTTAAATTTACTATTTCGATGAGTTTTACAGAGTTCAGGTGGAAGAAAGTTGGCAGTGCATTGACTTCAATCGATCGCTGAGCTTTTCCTCTTAGTGTTCACGATGCTCCTTCCTTCTCGTTGTCTCCTCAATTTCTTGCCGTTACCTTAATGTGCTTTGCTCGACTTAGGAAATATGGCATACACTCGGGGAGAGGACCCATTAGATAATTCGGGCGGAATTTCTTTTTCCATTGTCTTTTCAATGGTTTTTTTCCGATTTTCATTTGAATTTCATAATAGTTTAGTTTTTAGTTTTTAGTGTGTATGTATTAATGAGATCCTTGTTGAAATTCTTTAATAAATGATATAAATTAGATAAGTGAATCATTATCTCTGATCATCTGGGCATGAACTGATTTCTTCTACCCATACTTCTCTACAATGTAACGATATTTGAAACGGACCACCGACTCGGATCTTCTGCTCTGAGCAAGACGAAGACGTCGAAACGTGAGCTGAACGAAGTTCTCTATCGACTTATCTTGTAGGCTTGTCCACGACAGAATACATATTGATTAGTCATTCCGAGATCTAGGAAAGGTTTGTTTTGAAATATTTTTTAAATATTTTTTAAACAAATGGGTGGACTTCTAAAACTTCGTTGAGTAGTTTTCAATGATTTTTAGAGTTTCCATGGAATGAGTCGACTTTCTCTTCACCGCCTCAGTATTTCTCTATCCGAGCTTATACTTACGTCATAAATCATATCTATTCATTACTTCCATTACATTTACTTAGTGTTTTTTACTGCAAGGGCAGCTTACTATTTCCTTAATGACCAGCAATTGTTAGTGTTTCAGAAGCTCTACATACTTTAACTGTGTGCATTACCTCTTTTTTTCATTCTTAATTGCGTCTGTGTGTTTTCTTTATGATTGCAGATATCCGAATTCTAGGAGGCGTTCCTTGTTTGTTTTACTTTATCTGATCATGCCCCCTGTTGTTCTATTCTAAACTTCTTGAACTTATTCGAATCTACACGATCTAATGATCCTCACTGCTTGTGGATCTCAAAAACAGCGCCTTAGCGTTTTCACCTAAATCGCTAAGTTTTTGGTGTTTTCATGGTCACCTTTGTCTTATTCACAACCGTTTGGTTCTGTTCTGTTCTTTTCCATTCCGTGCCATTCCGTTTCGTTCCATTTCCCTCCGTTCCGTTAACTGAAGACATTTCAACGAATTCAGATGGATCCTATACTGAACGGGTCATATGTACATTACGGTATGGGGCTGCCCACAACGGCATACGCGACGGGCACACTCTCATCACACGCTTATAATAGGTACACTTAAATATTTTCCTGTGTATTGTTAAGCTAATATGCATTTGTATTACACAAATTTTTCACATGTTTTCGTAAAGTCTGTGGACGCAATTTTAACGCGTTTCATTTTGAAGAAGCCGATGGAGCTGAAATATTACCAGCAATAAAAGTCTATTTAACAACCTCAAACAGGCTTAAAAATACAACACAGTATTACTTTTTACGGAAAGGTATGCTTGGAGTACACTGAAACATTTTACGGGTTACGGTGAACTGATGTTTCTTATTGATGGCGTTGTTGGATATATAACCTCAGACGGTTAAGCTTATCTTCTTCCAAGCCACCTACCTATCTACGGAGCGTTGACTCAGGCAAGTGTCACAGATAGGAGCGGCAGGGTTAACGGCTGTTATCTACTTATTGAATTTTTCTGTAGCTTGTTCGCTTCACATATATTCACTCTTCACATCTTTATTTTAGATTTGTTTACACACTATTAAGTATCTTATAATGTATTTACATGGCTGAATAAATAGATTTTCTACCCTATTACAATAACAAATGTGAATGAGAGTCTTGTTCTTCTGTTTCTTTTTCTTTTGTTTTTCCTAACATCTAAGTAAATTATATACGCTTTCGACAGGGGATGGTGATAGAGCTTTACCACCCATTAAAATCTTTTTTTCTCATTATTTTTTCCGTTAAAAGCTCACAAAAGCTCTCAAAGATAGGATTTCCATCGGCTGGTATGCTTCACAAAACCTTTTCGGACCTCTTCAAATTTAATCCTATAGGTTTTTTCACAGATGATTGTTCGATGAAATAAAGATTTCAATTACCTTCGATGTCTGTCGTGAAACGCCAATTAGAGTACTTTTAGAAGCGCATAGAAAATGTAAGCATTATAAAACAGCAGAAGTGGTCGATAGAAATCAATATCTCTTATCGATTTATGTAATTTAAAACATTATAGAAGATATCGCTGATGTAGAACCGGTCGGAAAAATCCCTAAACTTCCACAACGCGTTCATTTAAAAGCATCTTTGATACTGTATCACTTGTTACAAAATTCGCTCGTTACGAAAGCTATCACAGTAATCAGTGCTTCATTGCATTACAGTAATTCGTCCGATCACTCGGCCGATCCTTCATCGTCGAGTTCACCGGGCGCTGCGCCAAATATGAACCTTCTGCTGACCATACGACTGCTCATGCAGGGAAAGGTTGCTAGTGTTCACCTATAACTATTGCGCCATATGTTTTGAAGCTGGAATCGCTATCATTTGTACATTTGTTTTCTAGGAAGTTGGAAGCATTATTGGTAAGCGTGGTGATCAAATTAAACGAATTCGAGAAGAATCCGGTGCAAAGATCAATATTTCGGATGGTTCGTGTCCTGAACGGATAGTGACTATTACCGGCAGTTTGGCTACAATCAATAAAGCGTTTGCGATGATCTCAAATAAATTTGAAGAGGTCAGTTTTTCACCATTGTTGAGAGTCGGCTTCAGTAGGTGATTGCGGGAGGCGTTTTCGGGACGACTGAACGATGAATGTTTAAGTACGAACATCTGGAAATTTCCGACTACATAAATGTCTATTAATCCAATATCTGAGTTCTCCAGTACCAGTCAAAGATAAACTCTTGTCTATTATTGGGCTATCTCGTTTCATAATGTTCTATTTAGTTGGCAAAGCGACTCATATTTCAAATAGTTCGGGATCGAAAGTTGTTATAAACTTCATTTTCCTAAGTGCTCGGTATTGATCGTATTTTTGTCAAAAGCGCTTTGAGATTGTGGATAACATTCAAAGCTCGAAGCTGTTCTGTTCATAATGCTTTTTAGGTCTGAAGTCGTATAGCCGCAGTAGTTGGAGAAAGTGTGGAAGAAACAGACTGCTTTATTTTTTAGCTTCAGTTTAGAATTATCGGTTAGTAAAAATGGCGGGAATAGTCCACTTTATAAGAACCTCAAATAAGAATAGTAGTAGAGGGAATGTGTTTTCCGACCTAGCTTGGCATAGTTGACGTTCAATCACCTTATTTCGTTACATTTCTCAAAAGAAGTAGATTACCAACGACTGGAGTTCTTTTACCAAGTGGATTTCTTGGAGAAGATTGAAACCGATTTTATTTGTGAATAAAACACATTCTCATAGAAATGTTTGCTTGTGTGAGACACTTATTTTCGTAGCCGCTACAAAGGTTAATATACCTTCGCAATGCTAAATTTAATTGACGTTTCACTTTTATTGGTTTAACCATCCTTTTCCTTTCTTGGAGTTCTGTATTATATACACACAAACCTGAAACATCCTTTTTCGACATCTTCACCACTCTTTCAGCATTTTTTTCTTTATTCTCACTTTCTATCCGTGGGCATCTTGGATTACTAACTAGTCCTACTGGGAAGAAAATAGTCCACAAAATAGCGGAATTTATGAATAACATAATGAAGAATAAGAAGATCGAAGTGTCTTCAGATCCATTCAATGTTTCTTTCCATTCCAGGACATGCGTGCGCTACCGAATTCGGTACCGAAACCACCGATTACGATGCGATTGATAGTGCCAGCAACACAATGCGGCTCATTGATAGGCAAGAGTGGCTCAAAAATCAAGGAAATTCGTGAGGTAGCCACGGTTTCGGCTTTTAATTCTTTCTATAGTGATTGTAATTGTACTGCCAGTGTACTGCCATCGGTCTAGTACAGCGTCTGCTGTCGCTGTGTCTAGGCGGTTTGTCCATTGCCAACAAGCACTACGGTATTCTAAGGCTTCTCAATTATGTCGTCGTTTAATATTCGAATCGTCCTGCGTTTCTTCACTTTCTTTACACATCTGTATTAAGTCATGAAAATTAGAGATTCTCCAATCTTTCAGCTCATAACTATCAGACTCGTCTCGTTTTTATTTCCGTCATAACATGAACAGCTGGTTTACATGGATGCCGCTGTATCAGATGTGATTTCTTGGAGTTTAGTGTTACTTCAATATGAGCCATGGTTTGCGAAGTGGGCATTATCTCTACTACGTTTTCAAGATGTGCTTAACTTGTAGACGAAGCAGATGAAGTCCATCTATAAGTGGGAAGTTTATCAAGGAAAGTTTGAGAGTCGACCGTTCGATCCAAATATTGACGTCTCTTGCTAAAAACGGAACACTTACAATATCGTAGAGAACGTCGGTATTCAAAGGTTTCTGGATCCTAGAAAGTGCGGCTTTGAAAAATTTGAAAGGAAATGGATGTTCGTTGAGAAGTTGAACACTTCTCCATTTCTTCGATTTAAAAAAAATCATGCGTATTCCATCTTATTCCAGTCTAGTCTAGTCTAGTGCTACTCTTCATTAGCTAAATTACGTTTGTAGTCACACATAAGTCATAAAACGTATGTAATCCAGTAGAATAGAACTTTCAAGAGGATTTCCTATTAATTCTCCGTTAAGGTAGGGGAGAGACGCGGATACTAACCACTGTAATACCGAGAAGCGCGGGTGACGCAGTGGTCGGAGGCGCCCTACAGCGCACACGTGGAATCGATCCCCACTTCCATGACCTACCAAGCCTTCCATCCCTACGGGTTCGGCAGATTGGTATCGTACGTGTCTACGAGGATAGCAGCATTCGGTTGATATATCGGTAGGCCACCGCGAGTCATTGTAGAAGCCAGATATGCATTCAGTCACGTCCAAGTGATGCTTAATGAAGTCGAATGCGTGGCGTATCTCTCAGGGATTGATCAACGCCGAGAGCTTAATCCTTTTTTATTAAGCTAAGAGAATAAAACAATCCTTATAGTTTTATAGGTACTGTTAAGCTCTCTTCAGATTTTATTGCATTTCAGCAGTTGAAGAATGACGTGATCGACTTTATCTAGAAGTTGTCCGTTTAACAATTGCAAGTTCATTGACGTTGAAAAGTTATTTATGTTTGCTAATTGGGTGGTGGTTCTATTGGATATAAATTCTCAATCTTCCTTATTTTCACCCATTGAAAATCGTTAAAGAACTCGTCAAAATGGAGTAATAATGGATAAGAAGTTTGAACTTTGCGTAGCATTTCAGTTAACTCAAACCGTTGCACTTCGCTATTTTACAACTTGTAAGAGAGCGAATTTCTTTGGTAGAACAGAAAATTTGGGAAATTGAAACCTGGTTTAGGGTTTACTTCTCTGACAACCTGCGTAGACTCTTCTAGGTCCAAAATTTCCGAAGACGTCATCCGTTGCTATATTTAGATTATTGAGCAATTTGATGAAATGAGAAGGATTCGTACATCAACCATTCTCGAGTTACTCAGAGATGGCCGACATGTCTTTATGAAAATGGTAGAGGGAGATTTTTTGACATACTTTTAGTACTTTTACGTCTTACATGCTAAGCTATTTCTGATTCAATAGAGTGACTCTTAGTAGAAGCAGCGGTGATGACGCCTTATCTCCGTTATCACTCTACACTTAGTAAATAGTCTAGTGAGAGAGGAAAAGCGAAATGTCAAGGATACTCCAGGGAGAAATCAAATACAGCACAATAAATCGATTCGACAGCTGAGGTATGGACCTATTCAAAAGCATGTGCTGATGATAGCAAGACATTGCATCATTTCTTGACTATCATCTTCATGACTTCGTGGAAGATTAGGCTTTACATGGTTTCACTCGCTTATAGGGATTTAATCGGATGGAAGAAAGTCGCAGAACGTTCTGTTTCATACCAAGCTTAGAGTTTTTATTGTATTCATGGATTCACTCTGCCATGCGCCATCTACTTTCGAAAACACAACAAATAGTTTTAGTGAGACATCACTTAGCCTGAATGGAGTCTATCTGGCCTTGTTTTCTCGGCCATAATCCTAGTGCTTAATACGGAAGCCTAATAACTCTGAATTTCTTGCTTTTCTCAATAAACTGCTACTAAGCTCTGTTCAAACAGCACTTTCGAAGGGTTCACATTGATAATGCTTCTCAGGCAGTGTTTTAGTGGAAGGTAGCCCAAACTTCTAACATAGAAAATGAAGATTTGATTTATTGAAAATGACTATTGCACAAGGTATATTACATTTTTGAACAAAATCCTTGCGAGGCCTACAAAAGATTGGGAACATCTGAGGACGGACGACGGGAGTGCTTCAATGTTTCGCAATGGACGATTCCATCGAAACGTATGATTTAGATGGTTGTAAAGTGATAAAACGAAATAAAAAGTGTGATTTACTTGCATTCAGGGTCATATTTCAGCTTTCACTTTTCATCGTTATTTTTTTGATGAGTAACCTTTCTGTGAGCCGTTAAACGGTTGAAGTAGTGCTAGTAGTGAGTTTAGAAACGAAATGCTAGGGAACGTCAATCGATTAACTGTTGTCTTACGTTTTTATGCTTCTCATTAATCCGTCAAGAGGTTGTAATACGATATTTATTTGACTTTAGCTGACGATTCAGCGGATTTAGTGTTTGTCAGAACTTCGAAGAGTCATGTTGACTCTGCTGAGAAATCTGTTGACAGAACGCGAAGATCGTTTTGTGACGGCATAAAATAACTTATTGATGGAAATTACGCCATTCTTTTGCCATCGCTTGTAGATAAAGTCTGTTATCATTTAACCATATCCGTAGAGAAAGAGGGACGGATCAAATGTTGTGGATCGAAGATCGAATTTGCGAGGTGATGTGCACTAGAGGTGCCCCTCCACGGTACATGTCTCCACTACAATGCGTAAATGTCGACGAAAATTAAACTACCAAAAAAGGAAAGTGGATTAAGGACGTAATGCAACAAAATATTTAATTATGTATGTAAAGCGATAAAGGATTTGACACCTATCTTCCTCTTAGGTTATCATTTGACTCCATGAAGTATCGTAATAATGGTTTAGGGCATGTTTGGTTTATATAACGACTTATCAAGAAGCAAAGGCGCTGGTTCGATACCCGCCCCAGCACTCTCCTCCAGTGCACGTGGGAACACCTTAACCCAGCTATCTCCCAGATTGCAACGGGAATTGACTCGACCATCAGTCTACAACATTAAAAAATGCTGTTGGCAAAAGGTCGATAGAACTAGCTGAGAGACAGGCAAAACGAAGGACCCGGATGGTGTGGTGGTGAAGTGCGCTGCTCCCCGGTAAGGACAACAGCGCGTGTTCGTTCCCCACTGCATACAACTGCGGTCCGGAGTTTTGCAAATATTTCAGCAGCGTTGAAAGTTAAAATTTACAATGAATACCCTGTCGTTAAAAAGAAGAGTAAGCAGTAAATAATAAGTTGAAATTCGTAAAAAAGACGAAATCCTTAAGCAGCGGTGTTCAAAGACCTTCGTGCATGATGGGTGAGAGTAAACGAAATGAATCCAAGAAGTGTTGGGATCCGTACAGCAGATGTGATGGTATGTAAAAATAAGAAAGTAATAACTTGTGGGGCTTTCCGATGTTTCGAGCCAGTGCTGTCATCCTCTAAGACAAGTGTGGAACAAATTTTCGGACTCCAGAGAATGTAGAGTTGGTTGAGTTTCCAGCCGTTGCGAAACAAGCATCCCACAAATTTGGATTATACGAGTAAATGTGATTCCATCTACGAAAAGAAGAATTTAAGATTGCTCTTAAGCAAGAACAAGTTTTCATGTATTCTGATTTGTAGTACTTTTATAACAGTTTTTGATTTTTAATCCCACTTTGTAGAATTGCAACATAAGATAATTCTTTTGGCTGTGAAGGGAATTTTGTGGCTTAATGTGCTGTTTGTTTTCTGTTTGTTGTATTTTCTTTAAGCTTATAATGCAGAAGTGAATTTGTTAGGACCAATAGAACCAACTACTTAAACTCCACCGAGAGTCAGTTCATAAGTAACACTAGGTTTAAGAGAAATGGAAGGATGCATGGATAGCCGACTATTTGTACTATATTTTAGGACGTCTGGACGTTCCATGAAAGTGTCCAGGAGGAAGGTTAGAGCCAAAATTTGCCAAGGGAATGGAAACGTTCCATAAGTGGACAACGTTGTGAAAGTTGTTTATGCAACAAACTCTTTTTGGATTTCTCATCACCATAGGGGTCTCACAAACATCACACATCACTTTCGAATAGTAAAGGGAATGGATATTATTCTCGGCTCATGAACTTTATCTATGGTCTTTTGATTATTTAGAGAAGGGTGGAACTTCCCTCATATCTAGCATAATTAAATCATAAAGATGAATTGGAACAAATTCAAAGTCCTGTGGTTAATTTCCAGCCCTTTGGGCTTTAAGTTGTAGTCAGCTGGAGCGCTTTTCTTCAGAATCTTTGCAGAAATGAAAAGCGCTAAATGAGGAACGAAAAAGATGAATATTTAAGGGGGAAACGAAACCTGGACACAGATTTTCTATACCTCTATGCTCGTCATTTAAATTGCAGACGTTGTCTACAACAGTAGCACTGGAAGAAAAACATTCCTTTCACACACTTCCTCTTCTTCATCTGCAAATCTTTTTAGGCGACTGGTGCTTCAATTCAAGTTGCATCGGAAATGTTACCACAATCCACGGAACGTGCTGTTACCGTATCCGGCGCTGCTGACGCCATTACTTTATGTATGGGACAAGTTTGTCAAATACTACTAGAGGTGGGCTGATTTTCTTGTTCATTTGACTGACACTGACGAAGTCATGAAGAAAAAAATGTTTATTAATTCTGATAAAAGATAGAATGATAGAACCTTTGCTATTGACCGTCCCTCAGAGGTACAGTAAACTTCATTAAGCATTGTAGAGGTGATTAAATGCATATTTGGCCTGGACAATGGTCTACCGCTGCCCATTGATGTATCAAGTCGGCGGTTTCATCGTCCGTGAGAAGTTAGGAAGCAGTTTGCCAACCCCCGGGGTAATGCAGGGCTTGACTAACGTATGGCATGGGATCGAACTAACGACTATGTACGTATTGCAGGGCACCTTCAACCACTGGATTATACTCTCTTTTTCACATAATACTTCAGCTTTAGCACGAATTTATCAAGTTTGTTTATGACCCAATCCTACTTGTGTGTACAGCACAGCCGTTCTAAGTATTGGAACGCTGACAAATGGAAAGTGATATTTTTATTTTGTCGTATTGCAATACGATTCCTTACATGTGTTAACCAGGAAATCCTTTACCTGACAGACGCAAATGCGTGCAGTTTTTTCATAGCTTTCTAGGTAATAATCACTATCGTCTGGAGTTTCTGTCCATTCTTCTTGGGGTGTGGAAGCCGTGTAAGTAAATGGTGATATCGGCGACACCGTCTTTATCAAAAGGCTCATAAAGAGAAAACCATTAGACAGGAATTTCTCATATCCTGACGACAGTTAGCTAGCACAATATCCATATTTTTCTTGGAGATTTGCCGGTCGAGCCATTGTGGTTCCCTATGATCCCTAGGTCAGCCTGGTCAGCTGCCTCGGACCAAATTGTCCTTTAACGATCGTAAGTTGAAACAACGTAGTATTTGTTGCTTTAATGTGCTTATGAGCCAAAATCATCAATGAACGGTTCAATATTCTGAAATGGTTAGGAACCATTAGGAACGAAGAAATCTTGAGCAAAAAACACCTAAACAGACGTGACTTTTATTCTTTTCAATTTACGCGACATTTCCGGACTACAACTATGCTCGACTGCATTAGTGTGATTTGGCGTTAACACTAATCTAAACTGATTAAATGGCATTCCATTACTGAAATCATCAAGTGGACGTCTTCCTCCATAGGTGGCAATTTAGTGCGACATGTTGTCGATGCTGCCAATGCATCTGCAGCTGACAAAACTCCGTAATTGTATTGCGGCTTTGTCGAAGCTTTCTCCCAATTTCGACCTCTTGAGAAACACTTACGTTGAAGCCGTTGTATTCACTTAACGTAAAAAATGGCCTAAAAAATTCTCTAGAGTTACATAAGGAGGCGGCCTCTGCATATCTATGGATGACACAAAACTTTGAGAAAATTTTGGAACATCGGGAATATAGATTAGTACGCTATAAATTATCAAGCAATTTTCGTAGAATTTTTTAGCTATTCACATAGTGCTCGAGGGAAATATAACACTCTTGTAAAGATGCTACGGAGGATAGAGAATAAAGTGCGAGACGTTGGTTAATCCTTCAAGGATGTGTCGTGCCTATGACTCCATTAAGCATCGTGGTGATGATTAAATGCATATTTGGCCGATACAATAACTGGCTAAGGCATACCAATATATCCAACTTGCCTACACCGATAGTGGAGGGATGGGAGATTTAGTTAGCCTGAGATGTAACGGACCAACAATATTCTCGTGTGTATTGCAAGGCACCACGTGTTCTACAGTGAACGTTATCACCGGTCACAGTAGGTCCTCCAGTAGGTTATAGACTGTCGATTAGTTCGACTGCATGGAAGAACTTGAGCGGCTAACAGAGTGGTTACCATTATTACGCACTTTATAGCTGCTTTCTATTTTAGGAAAGGTAAAGGATAAGGCGCTCGGGGTTCATCAATCTCTGAGGTATGCGCCATGCATTAGAGTTCATTAAGCATCTTCAAAGATGGTTGAGTGATATCTGAACAACGACTCGCGGTTGTTTACCGATGTATCGAGTTAGTGAGTTATCCTCTGAGGCTGGTTTGGTACCACTTTGCGATCTCAGACGGTTGGAAAGCTTGGTGGGCCTGGCGCGCGGGGTCGATCTCATGTGTATTGTAGGACGCCTCCACTGCACTGCACGTGCACATAGCCGCTGTACTAGACGCACTTTATGCCTTATCTTTCTTTTTTATTTACGACACATAGATGAGAACTACAAACAAAGACTGCTACTGATTCAGTAAGAAATGGCAGTGATGAAGTGAAGATGTTTATTGACTTTGTGAGGCCACTTCCATTTTGTGTAGGTGTAGCTGTGGATTGATCCAGACATGGCGATCCCTTGTAATTGTAATTACATCCAAATTCCATGTACAAGAGATAATCTGTGCTTTCTTCATCAGGCATTTACATAATTATTTGCTTATACCATGTGGTTTTGGTGACAAGAAGGTGAGAATTATCTCAGAAACTACCTCAGCATTTTAGAGATAGTTTTCACTTTTTGTAACTCATTTCTCTTCAGTTGCCGATTTTTTCGATGAAAGGATCTCAAATAGGTTATCCACGAAGCACTAGCACTTGGTACATCTACGAATGTTTAGAAAATTTCAAGAGCGACTGTATGGTTACCCCATGAAATAAGTGGATTTAATGAATGGACACCTTGTCTCTGCTGTATAGGGATGATCCATACTTTTCGAACGTACAAGACATATACGTATATACTTGGTTGTATTTGTCTGTATAAGAATTACATACTGTATGTAGATTTGGCTGAAAGGGTATAATTAGGTGATTAGGAATATATGAGAGACGAATACGAATCACTTACAACAGTTCTATACATCCAGCTACCAAAGCACCAATCTACTGATTACCTCTAGGTGCCTTTTTGGAAAACGATAGCAGAAAAAGGCGTAATGAGAAGATTTAATGATGTTCATTTATCTCAGCCTCAGCGTACCTCTTTGAAAAGGTAACGTTCACCTGAGCTAGAGAATTTGTTGACACCCTCTGGAGACACTTAATGGCTAGTGGGTCATTAAAGTGAAATTTTTTCTGTATTTTATTTCACTCTGTGTTTTACTAAAGTGTTTTTCAAGGAGTTGATGAGAAGCAACGAATCCAGTTAATGCTAAAAGTTCCCGGTTTGAAGAATTAGTCTCCAAGAGTCACTTCGTATTCTTCGCCAACACTTTTAGGCTCCTCCGAAAGGTGCTACATTACCGTATCGACCGAAGCCGACGTTCAATTCGTTGTTGGTGGCCAGCTCAGCAGCAGCGGCTGCAGCTGCTCAACAACAGCAGTTAGCAGCACTTCTGCAACCAGGACTGCTTCAGCAAGCTCAGCTTGCTCAAATTCTGTCTTCAGAGGTATGTTTGAATATACGAAGTGGTCTGCTTTTGATTTGTGGTTTTACATGATCGACTTGTTATATCAGTGGACAACATGGTGTACACTTCCTAGAAAAAATTGAAAGGTACTTGAAATAGCTTCAGATGGTCGTCAATAAAGCTGGGTATTTTTATTGATTTCAAACCAGACGCTTAATTGAATAGCTAAATCATAAGTCCACTGCTACCAGGTGTTGTTGTTTTCTGTCGATGTGATCCATAGACGCCTATGTTGAACCACGAGGATCTCCTTTTATATTCTTCAGGAAGTGAGATCTAACATCACAAAATCAGATACCCCATTTTTCCTTCATGTACTTTTTCGTGTTGTAGTCGCATGGCATCACGAGAAGCACTGTGACTTGAACGTCACAGGTCAATCATCCCAAATATTTATTGTAAGTGATAACTGAGAGAAGCATGCATACCGCTTGTTATGCTACATAAAGTTTCTTTATTGCGATAGTATTACTTTCACTACGACCAAGTTATTGCTATAGAATCAGGGTCTTGTATCAAGCGCATCGTGCCATCGAGATAGTCCTCTTAGTATTTTTCCCGAATGAGTGATGATTAAGATAGTCGTATTCAGATGTTATGTTACATGAAATGATGTTTCAGAATTATTTTTTGGAAAAGTTGGTAAAAGTGTAGAAATGTTTGGCGTTGATCAGTCTTCTGAGAGAAATGCAATACATTCAACTTCATCAAGCATCGCTATAGGTGATTGAATGCAACCTTACCTACACAGTAAGTCATGGAGCTCTACTGATGTACCAACTTAGTGCTGCTATAATCTATAATCCCAGACATAATCCCAGACAAGTCCGGTATCAATTTGTCGACCCTAGATGTATGGAAGGTGTCCGGGGCGTCGGATCGAACCAGCGACCACGTGTTTATTGTAGGGCACTTTTAAATTCTGCGCTACACTCGCCCTGGGAAAAGTATGTACCTCATGTTAGAGATGGGTCACGATGACCTTACAGATCCTCGATACGTTGCGTTCATAAGTGTTTACTTTTGTCATGACACATTTTTTATGGTGCTTAATTTTTTTCGCGCAGGCAAACATTGTTACTGTGACCTTGTAATTTGGGATTGTATGGGGTCTAACATCGGCATCGGTAAAAGCACTCTAGAATGAATGTAGTTAATCACCATTCACTGAAAGATCTGTTAACTTCCTGGCAAGAATTAGGTAGTGGTTTTTTTTTCAGCGTGAGAATGGCATGAACGGCGCTATCCACGGTACCGCCTTTAGTAGGTTACTCAAATAAAGTATTGTATAACAACTGTGGGACAGTATAACAGCTGAATACGATCATCGATACTCTCTAGTTTATTTATTAGTAACTGTTACGATGTATGATTATACCTACTTTGTCAGTGGTGGTATGGCTTGTGTTCTTCATCAGCTATGATAATATCACAGCCTCAGTCGAAGTTGTGAAGCAGTAGCGTCGTTCTGTTTTCAGCTGGCGCGTGGTGTACCAGCGTCGGCGCAGTATGGGCCAGCCTCCGCCTTTCTTCCCGCTCCTACCCTCAATCCCCAAGGTACTGCTATCTCTCTCTCTCTCACTTTCTGTCACTCTCTGTACACATTCTTCTCTTCCTTTTTTTCGTATCTCTTGCTCTTTTCTCTCACACACATTGACGCACACACTCAATTCAGCTCACCACCTACCTATTCCGCACATAGTTGAAAATATCGCGGCGAAGTTTCTGTTACTGTTTGCATGAAATATAAGTCAACTTTGAGTTCGTTTCGTCCCATGTCGACATTCCACGGAAAGCGATCTATCCAGAAATAAGCCGAAATAGGTTTAGAAACACTAGAATTGGAAACTCTGCTAAAATTTTACAGTTCAAAACTAAAGTATGGATAAAACTCTTTGATGCTTTACCAACAATGCCGATACAGTTGATTGCATGTGATTTGTTAAAGCTGAGATAAAGAGAGATTACATTGCGCTTCTAACTATATAAGCTAAGTCGTTTCTATTGCAGGATTTCTACCAAAATACAAAGAATTTCTGTTATCTCAAAAAAGACAAAATAAAGGATACCCGAGCTGCGGCCCATTTCTGGATTCTTCTCTTCCGTGTCTGTCAGATTCATTGCTGATCTTATCAACAACCGCTGGTTTTCTGACAAATGCGATAGTTGTGTGTGCGTGTGTCTATGCGTCTCAACCAATCCTCTTGGCTTCTACCCTTTCTCAAACCTAAGCCATCTTGTTGTTCCTATGTTCATCGTTTTTAATCTCTTATCCTGTGTGTCTATTTGCACAACAGAGTCGACATTCATTCATTTATTGCCACTAGAATGGATATACCAGTACAAAGCAAGGTACGGTCACCACAAGAATCCAGGTGGGGCCAAGCACTTACGCAATAGCGATAAATTCGGAGAGTGATGACGTCCCAACGAGATGTCACATTCCGTTTGGAGAGTCTTAACAAATCTGTTGATTAGCAATGCTAAGTTTCTGGCCATTTTTCTCATAGCGATGTATAAATACAAATATGGTCGGTATTACCACAGCACCGAGAGCCCTCTGCTGCTGTAACTAAGACAGTGTAAACATGTTATTATGACCGTACCTAGCTTTTAAGGATAAAGTACAATTTTATAATTACGATAGGACTTCTTCTCTCTTCTATCATTTTCCGCGTAGTACCATTAATTTACACTAATCATAGAGTTCTATGATTAAAAGAGTCGATTTATAGTGTTCGGTGGTGGCCTGATTCTCGCAGGTGCCGGATACCCTACTCAGCAAGGAACGGCCACTGTTGGCGGAATCCAAGATCCTACCAAAGCGATGGCTGGGCTTTGGGGCGAAGATCGACAGCTAGAACTGATCAATCATTATGCAGCATTGAACAGCAGGTAGAGAGATTAGACTAGGTATTGATGATGATTATGATGATAATGCGACATTCCGCAAAACCATCTTTAGAAAGTAATAAACAATTCTTGCTGCGTGCACAATATGAAGTGGTTATCTAAAAAGAATGAGGAAATATGTTGACTTTCTTGCATGATTTTTGGCTAGAGTGCTAGCTTAGTGAAATGTCCTCTGTCATACGCTTTGTTAGTTTGACCTGACTGGTGCTTTCCGTTCTAGTCTTGTTTGAGCTTCAATCATTTTACATATCCGCATCACTATTTAATTGACTTAACCACTACCATTTTCCCGTTCAGTGTTTTGATGGGTGCACCGCTGCTGAAAAGTGCCAACTCGTCAACTAGTTCCGCTCACAAGGCAAGTGGCGCACGATTCACACCATACTAACAGTGTTGTCGTAATAGTCATCGTCTTCCGTGACGTTCACGCTACACTACCACTTGAGCTCTCTCTCTCTCTCTCTCTCCGTCTCTCTCTCTCTTTCTCTCTCTCACTCACTAAAGTCTGTGTTATATTTTTAATTGTAAAATATAAAGTCCACGTTATCAAATAATACGTTTTTATTTCTCTCTGCGGAATATTTAACATGAAAACAACAGCACAATATGTAATATGTACAGTATCACATACAAGATGTATCAAGAACTTTGCATTGCAATGCAGTGATGTCGTTAGAAGTACTTGAATACCAAAAATGACAGCACTTCCGATTTCTGCAGGTTCGGATATCACGGGGGCAATCGACGGTTTGTAAAACGATTTACGAGAGATCAATTAACAAATGCCTAATTAAAGTATGAGCCCCATGAACATTTAATAGGTAAAATCTGTCAAGAAAGAGAGTAACCACTCGACAAATTATTGTTTCTAAAATGTTTTCGTTGCATAAACACGACAATCCAGCATACCACCTTCTTCACACTCAATATCCAGCATGTTCAGCCATTCTACTAGCGATGACTCAGACATACCCAACCATCCACTCACCTTAACTACTGGAATCGTTGGTCGAAAGCTGAAAAATTAGTTTTCACTGGAAAATCCGATACAGAATATTGGCATTATGAAAACATTTCAAGATTATGAAAACGCTGAAAGACATGGAAATGTAGCAAGCTCGTTCCATGACGAATCCACACACCGAAACAAACCATGACGAACAAACTATGCTACTTTCATTAGTAGTGTATATTATATATTTCAATGTATTCAAATGCAGATATGTCGTGCGGACTGGAAGTAATATCACTGAATCTAAAGATATGGATGGAAAGTACAAAACGAAAACAGCAAGAAAACCTATATCCAAACTAGTGTTACATTAGAAGTGTTTTTAACATGGCACTTTTCAAATAATCATTAAAACCCTTGTTCTGCAGTAACTGCTGTTTACTTCGATTATTCATAAATTTCAGTCCACGAAGAGGTTACTCTTGACAAGTGCTATACGAATGAGCTGTTTTTCTACAACCATGTAATCATTGAGTGAAAATCCTATAAATTGCAGGACCTATTCATTTTGTCAGTTATAAGTACTCATAAAGACGTTGATGAAGATAGAAGACTACCATCCAACTATCTTTTTCTTATAGGATAGTTGGAACCATGCTGAATTAAAAAACCTACCTCTTGAAGATGTGAGCGAGAGCAGATTTTCGTTCTCGCTCCACGAATAAGTCCATGAGGTACGGACACATTTTAGGGGCAGCCTGAATCAGTTTAATTGCAAGACCAGAAAAAAAGCGATCATCCATTTGCTGTGGAGACAATAAACTTAGCACATGTACGCCCACATGTGTACTGCAGGGCACCTCTAAGGACTGCGCTACACGGGTCCACATTTCCATTAGATTAACATGACGTTTCAAAAACACAACTCTATGGTACTACATATCCAAATTATTAAATCGAGCTAATCGTTAGCAAAAGACCGACTTACATTAAACAATCTGAAAAGCGTAACGAAATTTCCTAAAGATATGGCACGACGAACTCGCATCGCAAATGAAACACACTCGTCAGATCGCATTTTGTCAGGAATACCTACAGTAACAATAAAACTAACAAATTACGAAGGATTGATTTAGAAAAGCATAAAGTATAAAAAAGGTGAAAAAAAAGTTCCGGGCATTTGAATGATGCCATGAGTATAAAAGATAAAAAGGATGAAGCTCCTGTCATTGATTAATCACTGAGGGTGCGCCATGCATTCGATTCCACTAAAGATCGTTTGGAGGCAAGTGAATGCATATCTGGCCTCTGCAATGACTCGTGGTGGTCTACGGATTTATCGAGCCATTGTTGCTATCCTCTCAGACAAGTCTGGTACTAATTTGCCGAACCGGGAGGAATGGAGGGCTTGTTGAGCTTGGCGATCGATCCAGTGTGTATTGCAGGGCGCCTCCTACCACTGCGCTACGCGCACCCCTTCCGAAGAATATCTCTTATAAATCACAAAGCAATGTAAACATGACGAAATACAACATATTTCCACAGTAAAAAATATCCATCTATTCTATGAATGTGAGGAAATTAATAAACTGAGTATTACTTATTTTTTGCACGTGTGCGTTCCATAGTGAATAACTATCACATCATGAATACAACCTACCTTTTAGCAATGATGAAATGTCAAGTGTATTAGACATTGCTATATAGTATAGGAGGCGATACGCTACAAACTCCGGCTCATTACGGCAATCAGGAATCTCGTGATACAACAGTTTAAGTTGACTTTGGCACTAAAACAACTTGCTCTTGAAGCAGACGAATGCAGTTATTTCTAGCAATTCAGAGACAAACTAACCTTGTTAAACTCTTCTCGATCCTTATTTTCCAATGCTATGCGGGCGTTTATCTCATACACAAGAACAGTGAAGTTATCCCGAACTCGTTGTACGGTGAGATCTTGTCTAAAATAACCAAAGAATAAAGAACAAATTGTGTCCAAATAACATGAAAGTCTTCCCATTCAATGTTAACTCTTTATTTTCTGCCTATCACAATTTTTCATGGCTGGGTATTATGTGTGATATAACCAATGGTGTTGAGTTTCTTCAAAACTCCGGACAGCAGGTGTCAGCGGTGGCGAATGAACGCGTTGTTACCCTTTCCGGGGGCTAATGCGTCCACCACCACACCACGCGTGTCCTTCGTTTCGCCTTTCTCTCAGTTTTCTCTCTCATTTGTATCTCATCATTCACTTTGACAATGTTTAAACAACATGTTGCATGCTCAAAACATTTCAAGCAGATCGAAGGAATCCCAACATGTGTCAGAAAGCGAAAACTTCCACTTCACCAAGAAAAACGTAGAATCTTAGCAAATTTGGCGTTATAAAGAAACATAGGAAAAACCAATATGGAACACTTCTGTCCTACCAACACGAACAAATACCCACACACGGTAGATAAGAGCTAATAAATACCTTATTGATCGTAATTGGTCCGATAAATAGCGATAAGGTGCTCCTGATTTGTACTTAACTTTAACATTTTCTAAGGACTTTTCAAGAATCTCTGGTGGTCGCACTTGACTTGGATCCGGTTCCTAAACTTACAGAATTTTATATGGGATATAACTCTCAATCTAACCACTGTGAAAAATAACTGCACGAAAACGTCTGTGAAGCACAAATAGTGATGCATGGAGGAATAGATATTGCCAACAATCTCAACCAATACGACTACATACATACTCTATCCCAAAGAATGTGAAAACGAAAAATTGAGGGAAATAAGACATTGATAGATGAGAAGGAACATAGAGTCAACAGCGTCCCAGCAATAAAGCCTGTTTGTACTTCAACACAGTCGCACCCAGACTGTAAAAGGACCGTGCCCAAAAATAATAGCGTTTCTGAAGTTTACATATATGTACTCCAGCCCACAAAGGGGTTCTATCAATTCAAAGAAAAATCACCAGAATCAGCTGGTCTCTGTTAACGAGATAGGGGTTTCCTTGTCCTACTATGATGAAATATCGATTCCATGGAAAGCATAAAATTTGTTTTTGCATTTATCTTCTCGTTGAGGGTTGCGTTTTCGACAACAAATCGAGCGATCAGCATGACTTCACAAAGCTGGATAAGATGGTGCACATCACAATATTATGAAAGCAGCCAACGTTTTCGGTTGACGGTCTTATGTCAAAATTTTGAAAATTCAAATTCCGCAAGCGATTTCTCAGGCATATGAATCCTAAACAACTTTAAAACAAAGATGTTACAGAAATCCAAGTGCAGCCTAGAACGCTAGAAAAATCATTTGCCCGGTTCTTAGTTTAAGTGCTCTAGTTATCGAAAAAATACTATCAGCTATCGACGAATGAGCACTGTTTCAAATGTGTTAAAACCAACCGTCGTGAGCCTGAAAAAGCTTTTTTCTATGTTCTGGCACGTCCCCCTCACAAGCCGCATACGAACAGGACGAGCAGACGGAGTTACACATGTGATAGTCGCACGGGTGTCATCCGCAAATCTTCGAGCTCGCTCCTCAATTCTTTGAGAATCCTGAAATTACTTCAGTTAAGAAAAAAATAGAAGACAAGTGATGAACGTGAAGAATAAGTCAGACGAATACGAACCTCTTCAACATGCCAACGAGGAGGATCTTTGTGCTGCTTTTCCGAACCGTTCTGTTTCTGCTTCTCCTTTTTCACCACCTGACCCTCACGTTTGCGTTCCTTTTTAGATTTCTTTTTGGAAACAGTCGACTGAAATACACTATTGTGAAGCAGCCCAAACCTACCCACAATTAACGTTTCTCAGATTTTTTCTAAAATAAAGAGAATTGGAAATTAGCGACATCTTCTCGCATTAAGAGCTTTTCCAAAAACTTCACAAAGTTTGAAACCAACTCAGTTTGATTTCTCTACAGTGGATTCTTTCAAAAGTAAAGACCACATTCACCCAATCGACATAGGAAAATGTAAATTTTGTCGCAAAAGTTATGCATGTTCCCCTCAAACAACGCAATGGAAAACCACCCCGCCGACACCTTGATTTTCACAATCTTCACATCACTTGAACTGTCACTGCTATATCGATCACGTTTTGCACCAGGTTCGGCGCTCGGAGAAACCGTTCTCTTCCGTTCACGTTTAGAATGAGGTACTGCTGCCTTGCTGTTGTTGATGTTAGCTTGAAGAGAGGCACGCAACGTCGCTGCTGGTGTCCAAGTGGCTGGTAGTTCGTAGCCGCGCTCATGTGGTAGCGGCTCGCGATCCCAATCAACGGCACGAGTAGTGCCCGCCTGCAACAGTGGTCGCAGCCGCTTCTCCAGATACTCCTGCACCTTCTGACGATCTTCGGCGCATTGTGCCGCCAGATACGCTCGATCCACGTAGCGTCTGCAAAAATAAAGCTTAAAGACATCACTATTTCATCGAAAGAAGATATACGCTAAGATTTTTGAGTTGACTACGTCAGTTATTTAAATCAGCTGTACAAAATATATGAACAACAGCTGAGAAAAAGACGAAAAGAAGAGGACATGCACGGTGTGACGGTGAACGCGTTAGCCCCCAGAAAGAGTAATATCGAGTGTGATATCCGCACCAAACACCTGCGGTCCGGAGTTTTGCAAATATCTCAGCATTACTGTGGTTATACTTCACATCATACCCTGCCATTAAAAAGAATAGGCAGCACGTAGAAAATGACTACATTACAGTACCAGCAAAACTCCATAAGCTTGAGCGAACCATATATGAACATATGAACATATATATATATATATACATATATATATACATATATGCATACACATAAATGTACACGCACATACACGTTAATGTATATGTATATATACACGCACAAATATACATATATATTCATATATGTGTGTATATACATGTATATATATATGTATATATATGTAATTCCATATAGGTACCTATATATACGTGTGTATATAACGGAAGATCATATTATAGGAGCCACTGATATTAGTGTTCAGTTTAACAGCGACCGTATGAGTTGTACAGGACTCGTATGTAAGGAAGCACACCCATTGAGTGTATTAGGCAAATACCTCACTTACATTAAGGCTATTTAATTTTGTAGTTTCATATTTCGTTAAACTATTGGTGACCAATAGAAACATCCCAATATTCTGCTCACGAATGATAAGCCGCGCTTGTTCGGAAATGAGCTCCTGTATCACCTGTAGTCCCCTTGATCATTGAGTGACTCGAGCGGGCGCCAGTAAATCTTCCACTTTTCCCTGTAGCGTGCAAGAGCCCAGTGGATTCTGCTCGTTTTAGCGACGCGTTGAGCACCACATCTTTCTTCTAGGCTTCTCGTGAAGAACTTTGCCTATTGGGTCTGCGGACTTTCCTGCAGTACTTCCGATATCCCGAGAAATCCAGTCACTAACGGCTCTTGTCTTTCGGTTGCCGTTCATGCACATTACGTATCCGGCCTACCTTATCTTCGACTGTTTGGTGTACAGAACGGCACCTTTGATTTCTGATCTTTGACGTAGATCGGAGCCTCGGATCCTTCTTCTTACTTATGAGACACGAGAAACCACTAGCATCGTCCTTTTGAATGCGCGTTCAATAACGCTGATTTTTCATCCTGCTTACGGAGCGACAAAGTTTCCGACGCATACGTTAACGCAGAAAGTATCGTTGAGTCGAAAAGGTGGGCACACAGTAGGCTGTTTTTAGCTCTCTTCACTATATCCTCGATGCTCTTGAAAGTTCCACAAGCCGCTCGTTATCTTCCGCTCAACTCTGGATTTACGTCGTTCATCATGTTGATTTCCTGATCTAGATAAACACAACGGTTATAACCCAGTATCTCAAGTACACATTGGACATCTCCCTCTGATCCACATCGTGGTGAGGACCTGGATACGCCCTTGCAAGGTTACGTCAGGTCTCCAGAGAGAACCAAGCTTCATAACCAACAATAGGCCTGCCTCAGTACCCCACAGAGGCCAGAAAATCTCGGGTTACGCAGGACGTCATTGGAACCGGATCTGACGAACACACGCACGACACGCCATGGAGATTGTTTCTTACTAAGCACGTATAATGCCAGAACACTCTCCACAGACGCCGATCTTCACACCCTTCTCGTAGTCGCAAATCGCATAAAATGTGATCACACTACAAGAAACAAAAATCAAGGAAACCGACATACGCCAACTAAACAACAGGACCCTTGTGATCCGTGGAGAAAAGGTCCCATCACGAAATGTCGGTGGCGTAGGCTTTGTCGTCCAACCGTCCATTGTCCATCTCGTCAACTCACACGTGATCCTTTCCCCTCGCATAACCGTCAACCGCCTTCAACTGTCGCATCATAAGAAGGTCACTATCATCAACTGCTACTCACCGACCGACGCAGCTGATGAGTAAGAATTAAATGCGTTCTACTATCAGTTGGAGGAAGTTATCCGCAATTATAAAGCATGTCATAAATTTGTTGTTGGATACTTCAACGCCAGAATAGGAAAGGCCAACGAGAGCGAATAGAGGATCGGAAATTTTGGATTTGGAGAAAAAAATGAGAATGGGAGCCGTCTCGCATGACTCCTTTCAGCAGCACGTCGTCTTTTCCATAGAAACTTATTTTTCTAGAAGAAACAAAGCCGCTACTGGACATGGGAGTCTCCCAACGGCATGACTCATGCTGAGATCGAACACATTCTGACAAACAGAAGATGGTGCCTACTTGGCACATCGGTAGTCCCGTCATTCTGTACTGGCTCCGATCACTGCCTTCGCGCGAAGATTCGATTCAGCCGCAAGCTGGAAAAGAACTCTCATCATCGACCACGAGGAAAAGTCTATCTGTATACGATGGGAACATTCTAAACGAAATCCTGTTCAAACTCACTACTAATGAGTCGCTCGAAAGGAGGAGAAAACTGAAGCTTGATCCTACTGCACACGTTCTACACGGCTAGTAATAAATACCAACTGCAGAAGAGCTTTGCAGAAAGATCTACAACGGTACAAGCAGAAGAAAATACTGGAAGCAGCAGAAAAAAGAAGCAGTCCGAAAAAATGTCGTTGAGACCTATGTGAATATAACGTTCCGCTGTCAGTCCTGATGAACTAAGATGGGATCGTCAAAACTTCCCGCCATGATATGGAATTAACAGCGAAAACGTTCTACATCAACCTTTTCCGTTCTACAATCCCCGTCCCAGGCTCAGATATTCCCGCTGGAGAAAAACCACCTGGAATTCTTCCGTCGGAGGTTCGAGTTGTCATGGAAAGCATGAGAAGAGGCACAGCTTCAGGACCCGATAATATCACTGCCGACTTTCTTAAAGCTGGAGGCCACAATTTACATGTACTTCTCGCAGATCATATGACAGACTGCCTTCAAAAGGAAAAAATCCCAGACCAGTGGAGGACGTCGCCCATGGTCATCCTGCCCAAGAAAGGAGACCGAAAGGATCTTCGTAACTGTCGTCCCATATGCTTGTTATGTGTACTCTACAAGCTCTTCACGAAGATTATCCTCTCGCACATATTAAAGACATTGGATGAGGCGCAACCCGTCGAGCAAGCAGGATTTCGAAAAGGATTTTTCTGCATGGACCAAATCCAAACCGTGTCCAGAGTTATCGAAGTTTGTCGGGAACACCACTTTCCTCTAGTTCTAACCTTTCTCGACTAAGAAAAAGCGTTTGACAGTGTCGAAACGAATGCAATCCTATCAACACTTGTCGACCAAGGAGTGGACCCCTCCTACATAAGGACTCTGTCCGACTGTTATCTGAAACTGCACTACGAAAATACAGCTTTTCCATCGACCTCTTACAATACCCATAGGAAAAGAGGTTCGACAAGGCGACACAATATCGCCAAAGCTGTTCAGTGCCGCACTGTAGTGGATAATGAAGTCACACGATTGGGATGAGAAAGGCATACGCATTGATGGGAAATTCATATCAAACCTTCGTTTCGCCGACGACATTGTCATCTTCTCAAGAAGTACTAGCGAAGCAGAGGTGATGATCAACGAGCTCAACGAAGCCGGAAAAAAGATTAGAGCCCGCATAAATCGAAAACAGACCCAACTCATGAAAAACCCATGGTGCGAAGGCGAAAAAATAGAATTGGATGGCTCTCTCAATGCATAGACCACCTCGTACGTTTGTACGTTTACCTTGGGCGATCAATGAACATAGAAAACAACATGAAGGAGGAACTAGATAGGAGGGCAACTTGGGCCCCATTCGGGTCTCTCAAAGAAACTTCCGACCAGCTGAAGGACTCGAAAATCCGCACTCATCTCTTTGATTCTACAGTCCTCACAGCGCTCTATTATGCTGCAGAGACGCGGTTTGATGCTTCAACCACGTCAAGAATGCTTCGAACTACTTACAGAACGCTTGAACGATGTCTTCTGAAATATAACCGGCACTCTCAATATGTAGCCGGAATGCGAAGCTGTGACCTTCGAAATCTGTCAGATTTTCCAGGTCCAGGAGAATATACATCGACAGCGAAATATAGATGGGTCGGTCACATAATAAGAACAGACGACAGATGCACGAAAAGAACAGTAGAGTGGACTCTCAAGAGAATGCAAACGTCCTCTCGGACGACCACCTGCACGTTGGGCGGACGTGTTCGTAAACAAAGTTAATCAGCTGTACCCACACCTGCAGTTGTATCACAGATCACGGTATGAGACTCGTAAGCGCTACCATGCTCGAACAAGACCACCACCTTGGACTACGACTGCGAGAGAAAGAAACGAATGGCATATGTGCTGGGGTCCGCACAGCTCGTGATGACGGACCGTCCTAGTATCCATGTAGGTAGACAGGCGCAACTGGAGGATTCGGTGAGATTCGCTCCGTTGAGTGTGAATGGGGCATACGTAACCAATCCGTTCTTCATGAACATCGTTTCCGTGAGATTTAGTTGAGAATAAATTTTTCACAGGTTTATCAAAGTCGGCAAGTATACGTTCCACATGGCTAATGTTTGGTGTTATAAGCACGATGTCGTCAGCAAAGTCAAGACGGTGTAACTGTCAACCGTCGATTTTCACTCTAATATTGTCTCATTCCAATGTTCGCACGACTCCAGGGTGGCGGTAGATAATTTTGGCGAGATGGTATCTCCTCGCCTAACTCTTTCTTTGAAAAAGGTAACACTTGCCAATGAAAACATAGAGTGGTAGAAATGTTCTTAGGTATTTCAGGTCAATGATATTTTACGTACAACTAACCATTTTCAAACATACGTTGTTAACTAATGGCGTCTAAAGAACAGAACATCATATTGACCGAGAAGAATTCGGAATGATATACGTTGGTAACCACGGATCTCCCTCATATGAGGGATCCCGAGCATTGTATTCTACAAGTCAATTCACCATGGAGTCAAATGACAGGGAAGTACATGAGAGGCGGTTAGGAGTCGCCTCCAACAAATAACTTCCATGTGCA